TGGGCGGCTGGTTGTTTAATCTAGAGAATTCGTAAGTCTAAAACCTCCTGTTCTGCTAGTCTATCTAGACCCAGGGCTGTTTGGGTGCGGCCTCCGCTCCCTGCTGGCTTCACTGATGGGCCCAGAACCCTGGTCCAGCCCAGTGCCCACCAGTGCACGTGGGGAGGGCCTGGGCTGCGAGCTGCCCCAAGAGCCCAGTCAGAGCAGTGGGTGTTTGCTGGGAGTCGGAGAGTGAAAAGTGACCTGGGAGGGTGACGGCCCCGGCCTCCAGCTCACCTGCCTCCTCGGAGGGGAGTGCTTGGCTGTGGAACCCGGGCCCCTGCCCTGCCCGCCAGGGTGCCCGGGACGGAATTCCGGGCCATTCTTGGGCGAAGCAGCCCTGCCCTGTTCTTATGGGGCTGGAAGGGGAGGGACGCCCGTCCCCTCGCTTATTCCTAACCCATTGCGGGTGCGGACCCCTCCAGGCCGCCAGTGCGTTTCCTCTCGGTTTAGAGGAAGTGAGCTTTCCTGTTAACCGTGCTCGGATGTTCATCAGGATGAAGCTTCTGGCTTTGGGTTGAAAACCACCCTCTTCAGTTAGAAAAGTAGTCGCCTAAACAGTGTTCTGAGGGACAGGTGCTGACCGCACTCTCTGGACCGGCAGCCTCGCCAAGGCTGTGGGAGGTGAGTGGTCCAACACGGGGCAGGGCAGACCCACCCGGTGCCGGGACTCTGTGGGTTTTGAGTTTTGTTTCTCGATGGGTGTGGGACGTGCCTGGCAGGAAGCTGCCAGAGGGGCGTGTTTTGGTGTGAACCAGTGCCGATGCGGTAACGCTGGTGTCAGGCCGCAGTGGCAGGGGCCGAGGGTTTCACAGGTGCCAGGCCACCCGAGGCCGCAGTCTAACCCAGCTGGGTGCCCGAGTCTTGGAACAGTTCCTTCTCCACGCTGGGTGGAGAGTCAGTGGGTCCCAGACCCCTCGTGAAGGACTGTTGTTTAGAAGCAGTTGTATTAAAGGCTCTTCTCCAAACCTCTTTCCGAATGTTTTTCTCACGTTTGCAGTGACTTCAGGCCAGCTCTGTGTATTTGCTGTCGTTTGGGTAGGTGCAGCCCTGACTCTGGGGCAGCCCACTGGGTGCCGGGGGATGGGGGGAGCGGCCGAGACCTCCAGCAGCCGGTGGAGACCCAGTAGAGTGGGTCCCTGAAAGTGGGCAGAGCGGAGGTCCCATGCGCCTGAGGCAGTGGGCGGGTGTCTGCTCCTGCCTGGGACTCCCTCTCCCCCCTTGGCCTCTGGTTTCTCGGGGGGTCCAGCTGCAGGCCTCGAAGCCCCAGGGGCAGAGAGCAGAGCCTCAAGTCAGGATCTCTCCCAGTGTCACCCACTTGGCCCAGCTGAGGCCTTTGAAAGCGGGACAGGACCCTGGGGCCCCTCGTTTTTTCAGAAGAGATGGAGACCCCCAGAGGGAAGAGGGTCTTACGTAGTTGTCCCTCAGCTCGAGCTGGAGGCGGCAAGGTTGCCCCCACGCTTACACGCACTCGCTCTTTCGGTCCACGATACTCTCCTTGAACAGAAGGTCTGCGAACTAAAGACAGGTGCTGAGGCCGGACCCAGGTGGGAGGGAACCCTGGGCTCCCCTCCTCTCTCTGCTGAGGCTCCCGCCTGGGGTCCAGGCCCCCAGAAGCCAGGGAGGTGGGCAAGGTGGGCCAAGAGCTGAGAGACGTTGGTTTTGTGGGTGTGTCGGGAGACTGAGCCCCAGGAGGTGGCCCATCCTGTGTGCATCCTGGTTACATCTCTCTGAGCCGCAGCACGGATCCCACGTCGGGCAGGTGCCCGAGGAGGTGCCCCTGCCCTGATCTGCCCTGTTCCCTCGCCCGGCAGAGCTGGCTCTAAACGGGGCTGCGACTGTCTGGCCGGGGTCTGCGTGGGGTCTGCTCCAGGCCAGTCCTTGGCCGGCCTTCCCTTTCCCTCCAGGCGGGCGGGGCCGGGTCTGTGGGAATGTGAGCTCTTGCTCTGTAAACAGCCGGTGACTCACCGCACAGCTATGCCTGGCGGCTCCAGGCCCTCGTGCGCTGACGTGCTCCGGCCGGGATGTGAGCACAGTGACACCACCACCCCTCCTCTATCGGCATGGAAAAGTTTCTCACAGCCCCGCTGCTGCCCCGGTGCCGCTCTGGACCCAGCACCAGAGGGAGGGGCGGCCCTGTGGGGCACCAGTTGGGTCACCGCAGATGCCAGGGGTCAAGCCACTGTCAGAAGCAGCTCTCGGCTCCCTTCTAGGATCTCCCCAGGCTGGGGCTGGTCTCGGGCACATGTGTGTAACCACATGACGGGTGCAGAGGAGCCAGGAGCCCCCTGACTGTCCCCAGCCCAGCCCTGCTCTCCATGACCCATCGTCAGCGCCCACGAGAATGGCCCTGATGAGGGTGACGACCCTGCCTTGATTCTGCAGCCTGGGGTGGTGAGGGGTGGGCAGAGGGTCGGGGCTGGGCCTCCACCCCACCCACTCGGCTCCGATTCGGCTCCTCTCTGGGGCCCAGGACGCTCCGAGGTGGGTTCTCTGCTGTTCTGTCTGTCTGTCTGGTGTCAGGACATCGGGTGGACCTGGCACTACAAACATAACAGCCAGCCAGCGAGCCTGGCGCCCGTGCCCCCCCATCGCCACTGGGGCACAAGGATTTGTTTGCTGTCCCACAACCTGTGGTGTCTGCACCGTTGGCCCCAAGCCATTGTTGCTGTGGGCTTCTCTGTTTCCATGACGACCATGGGGGCTGGCTACTTACCAAGGTCGCCATGGCAACTATCAGAGGGGAATCATGCTTGGGATGCTTGGCTGGCTTTTTCATGAATGATTAGAATGTGTGACACAATGCAGACGCGAAAACCAGAAGGGCGGGCGG